AGAGGAATGAGTGAGTGAGGAGAGGAATGAGTGAGGGGATAGAGGAATGAGTGAGTGAGGAGAGGAATGAGTGAGTGAGGAGAGGAATGAGTGAGTGAGCAGAGGAATGAGCGAGTGAGGAGAGGAATGAGCGAGTGAGGAGAGGAATGAGTGAGTGAGCAGAGGAATGGGTGAGCCACCTCCCTCTCTTCTCTGTGTTCCCAGACCCCAGCCACCCTCAAAACCCAGCTCCCTGAACCGCTTTCCTGCCCCTCAGAAACTCCATCCACTCTGAGATCCCAGACCTGTCCTGCTGCCAAACTCACCAGGCCCTGGTGTCCCCAAGGCCAGTTCCATTTTGGGGACCACAGGAAACACTGGAGGTGGCAGCAGTTGTCATAGAAGGTGTAGGTCGAGGCCAGGACACGGGCCAGGATCCAGGAGCCCCCAACCAGCAGCCGGAACAGCCACGGGGATGCTGCCACGGGCCCAAGGCCCAGCCAGGACAGGCTCAACTGCAGCATCCTGAAGGGCAGACAGGATGGAGAGTGAGACACTGAGGCCCAGGGAAGGGCCCAGGAAGTTCCAGGGACAGTGGAGAGGGGCAAGGAAGGGCAGTGCTGGAGGCAGATCAGGGAAGGGTCTGAGACGGGTAAACAAGAGCTGAGATCTAAAGTCCAGAAACACCCAACGGAAACCAGCAGCCAAGTGGCCTCCAGTTACACAGAAAGGGGGAGATTGAGGCTGATCAGAATCCAGAAAGGCCCAGCCTGAATCACTGGGAGGTTGCCAGGGGTCCGGTTACCAGGAAATCACGTTTCCCAGGTCAGTAGCCTGGACCCACCCCAGCCTTGGGCAGTGCCTCTCCCCATCCCAGGCCAAGATCCTCCAGCCCTGCCACCCCCAGCCTGGCACCTTCCGTCAGGACCAGCTTGTCCCACACAATCTCCTCTCCCCACCTGCTAGGAGGTCTTTATCTCTGGCCCCTGATGTAGGGAAGGCTGTGGGAGGCTGGGTTAGGCTGGGCTGGGCTGGGTGAGCCAATCCCCATAGCCTGGGTGTGTCTTCCGTGCCTGGGCTGACAACCAAAACCTGGCATCAGGCCAACTGGGTGCAGAGCTGAGGGTGACACAGCATGGGCACTGGTTCTGCAGGTCTCAGCACCTCCCAGGTGGGTGAGAGGGGATCTTGAGGTGCAAAGGTGACTCTGAGCCCCAAAGTTTACAGCCACCCTGCCCTTCCAAGGCCAAGGGTGTGGCAGATAAAGGCATGAACTTGAGAGTTCAGGTGGCAGGTGAGCAGGGCCAGGCCAACCCTTGTTCCAGATCATCTTCTGAGCTCCTCTTCACGTGTGGTCCAGGAGTTCGCTATGCACCATTTCTCAGTGCAGACTTAGGAGATTCAGGGACAGAAGCTTCTGGTCTCTGGCTTCACAGCCTGGCAGGAGTTCAAGTCCTGCCTCCAGGTAACCCAGGGCCTGGGTCGAGACATGACTGACAGGAGCAGGAACAAACTACCTAACTGTGCTGGGGATTACCCGGTCCGATTCCAGAGATAAAGAGCTCTGCTGGAGGAGAATACCTGGAGGCTGGACTCAGAATAGGAGGACAGAGATGGGGGATGGGAGGTAAGGCTGAGAGGGGCCATGAGCAGATGGGGCCAGGGAGGGCCGAGCCAGGAGACCCTGAGTGGAGTCCTTATTCTGCCCTCTCCTTGCTCTAACTGTGGGCAGTGAGCCCCTCCTGGACTCAGGCTTCTCATCTGGGAAATGGGACGTCAGATGAGGCCTTAGAGGGGGACAGAGGAGGGATCACAGGAAAATGGGCCTTAGACGGGGACAGATGGATTCTGAGGAGAGAGCCTGAAAAACAGGGAATGAAGGGAAGGGGCTGGCAGCTAGTACTTTAGCTGCTGCGTGTCAGTCTCTGCTCTTTGCAAAAGACAATATGCACTATTGCAATATACTGGGTGCTGGACTCTACATAAAGCACGCCTACCCTGTGCCAGGTACTCTGTACACATGTCGTGTACCGTGTGCCAAGTGCTCTATGTAAAGGGTGCCCAATGTGTGCGGGGTGCTCTACAGAAAATCTTGCTTCTGTGTTCTCGGTCCTCTACATAAAGTGAAATTTGTGCAGAGTAACTTTTGTAAAGTGGACCTACTCTGCACCTGCTGCTCTATATAAAGCACAGCTACTGTGTGTCAGATGCTGTACATAGAGCATGTTTACTACGTGCCTGGTGATCTATGTAAAGTGCACCTACTGTGCGCCAAGTGCTCTACACACAGTGTGCCTACTCTGGGTGCTGGGCACACTTCATAAACTGTGACTCCGTGTGTCCCATCCTCTACATAAAGCACACCTACTGTGTGCCAGATACTCTACATAAAGTGTTCTTTCTGTGTGTCGAGTGCTCTACATAAAGTAAAATTACTCTGTGCAAAGTTCTTGACATAAAGAATGCCTACTGTGTGCAGGGCACTCTCCACAAAGCACTCCTACTGTGTGGCAGGGGCTCTAGGTAAAGCATGCCTACTGCGCTCCACCTACTCTAGGTCAAGTGCACCTGCTCATGTCAGATGCTCACCTGCATCACTGCGCCCAACGCCTTCACACCAACCTCCCCTCGGTTCTCTGAGCCAGAGCCCTGGGATTGTTGGAGAGACCCGAGTGATGGCATCCAGAGAAGGGAATGCGTCCATCTAACATGAGAGCAAACTGAGTCTCAGTGAGGGCAGGCCTCTAGCCCGAGTTACAGAGATCACAGGAAGCCAGGTTTGTGAGACCCTCAAGCCCAAACCTTTTTCCTCTGCCATGCTGTTCTGCACCCATTCGTTAGGGTCAATGTCATAGTAACACAGGGACATTAATAACGAAGGAATCTCAGGCTACGTAGTGGCCCCAGAGGGGAAATATCTGGAGGCCCTTGGATCAGCACCTGGCTCCTTCTCCCACATGCAGGATGCTCCGCCCACAGACCCAGGGCCCCCCTCCTGGCTCTCCCTGGATCCTGTCCAGAACTGCCCTGCGGGGTGGACTCAGGAGAGGGGGTGCTTGAAGGAGGGGGCTCCTAGCAGAGCTACTGAGAAGGGGGATGGGGAAGACAGTGCTCCTGACACTGGCCATGTGTTGGGGAGCCCCCAAACCTCCTCCACCCCACCACCACTGCCAGCCCAATCAGCCAGGGGATTCAGGCAGCTGGCCCTACAGCGTCAGTGGGGTAGGGTGCATCCCCGAAAATCCCCACTCCCTCTGCAAGGACAGACCTCACCTGCTGGCGGTTCCACCCCTATTAGGCTCAGGGAGCAAAGCCAGAGTTTGATGAACCAGGCGGGGTTCTAGGGACACAGAAGAAAGCGTCCTCAGCAGCTAGAGGGTCTCCGCTCACTGCAGACCTCCTGTGTGCTTGGGACGAGCAGGCAGCCTAGAGCCGGAATGGTGACCACCACCATTTGCCAACATAACTCACACAGCCTGTTTTAAGTCCTTTAAGTATATTAACCACTTTGTTTTCCATTTTACAAATGAATCATTAAGCCTGCAAGATATTTAAGTGACCACCTATAGTCGCACAGCTGGTGGAGCCAGGCTGGTTACCCAGACCACCCACCCAGCCTCACACTGTGCCACCCCTACCACCGGGCTGTGCTCCTTCATATCTGTAAATGGGCGTTTCAGTAGCACTCGCCTCACATGGCTGTTGTAATACTTAAAACAGACAATGCAGGCAAAATGCGCAAGGCAGACTAAAGGCTCAGCAAGTGCAACTCGCTGTTTCTGCTGTTGCTGTGGGTGCTGTGTAAGCTGGATATGGGGTCTGACCCGGATCCCGTAGCGGGCAGAGACATGGCCTTGCGCTGTATTGGAGAAGGGCCCCAAAGGTCCAGCTTGCCCTCACCACCTGCTCTCTTTGGCTGTAGATTATGGCTAGGGGAGCAACCTCTCGGACACAGGAGCCTTGGCCTGAATCCAGAAGAGTTATCTGTGGTGAAGCAGCAACAGGAAATTTGAACACCTGTTAGGTGTTAAGACAGACTCACAGGTGGATTCTTCCAGGGGAGACATCAGCTGTTCTGTGTCTGGGAACTGAACATCCAGGGAGCCCAGCCGCCCATCCAATGAACACATGAGCTCTGCACAGCCCAGCTACTGCATCCCTGATAGTCTCTGCTTGAATGTCCCCCAGCATGGAGACCTCAGCACGCGTGCACACACACACACACACACACACAGCCTATGCCTTTACAGCAGTGGTCCCCAACCTTTTTGGTACCACGGACCAGTTTTGTGGAAGACAATTTTTCCACAAACTGTGGCAGGGAGAGGAGAGACAAAGATGGTTTCAGGATGATTCAGGCGCATCACATTTATTGTACATTTTATTTCTATTATTATTACATTGTATCATGTAATGAGGTAATTATACAACTCACCATCATGTAGAATCAGTGGGAGCCCTGAGCTTGTTTTCCTGCAACTAGATGATCCCATGTGGGGGTGATGGGAGACAGTGACAGATCATCAGGCATTAGATTTTCATAAGGTGCATGCAATCTTAATCCCCTGCATGCGCAGTTCACATTAGGGTTTGCACTCCTATGAGCATCGAATGCTGCCACTAATCTGACAGGAGGCGGAGCTCAGGCAGTAATGTGAGTGATGGTGAGCAACTGTAAATACCGATGAAGTTTCGCTCACTCACCCACCGCTCACCTCCTCCTGTGCAGTACAGTCTCTAACAGGTCACAGACCAGCACCTGTCTGCTGCCCAGGGGTTGGGGTCCCTTGCTTTACAGAATATTAGAGGGTAGATACTCTACGGAAATGAGCCTCAAACTCAACCAGTTCTAAATCAACGAGAAAGGGGATCATTTAAAATGCATCTTTCTCTATGTGCACACATTCAAGGGAGGCAAGATATGAGGCTAAGAGAGTGAGGTACAGAGCAACAGGTATGTCTGCTAGATATTCACAGAAATGAGGTGGACAGTGCATAGAGGCATACACTTCTATCCATCATATTTGTATAAATAAACTCTAGCATGAGTAGTTTTTAAGCTTAGAATATAAATGTTTAGGGCCGGGCACAGTGGCTCATGCCTGTAATCCCAGCACTTTGGGAGGCCGAGCTGGGTGGATCACCTGAGGTCAGGAGTTCAAGAACAGCCTGGCCAACGTGGTGAAACCCCATCTCTACTAAAAATATAAAAATTAGCTGGATGTGGTGGTGGACGCCTGTAATCCCAGCTACTTGGGAGGCTGAGGCAGGAGAATCGCTTGCACCCAGGAGGCGGAGGTTGCAGTGAGTCAATATTGCACCATTGCACTCCTGCCTGGGCAACAAGAGTGAAACTCCATCCAATTTAATAATAATAATAAACATTTATGTACATATAACTATTTATACGTTTATATATTTCACTTGTGTGGTTTGTTTTTTCCTCTGTGTGTACAGCCAGTAATCCTCCCAGGTCTCCACTCTGTGAGTCCCCACAAAGCTCCCACTTCTTGGACTCTGTGCTCTGGGAGTGTGTGGGATGCACCTGAGCCACAGCTCCCTGCAGGCTCAGAGGCCAAGGAGTCCCTGGGTGGCTGCTGTCTCTGGTCCTAAGCCCTTTATGGAATAGGGTCTCTACCGGAATAGGGAGCTGGGACCAGAACAGCAGGTCTGCCACCTGGCTGTGGGTCTGTCTGCCCTCTCAA